CATGCATGCGCATTGAGGAGCCACTGGAAAAAATGAGGGGGAAGTCGTCCCTGCTGGGAGATCACAGTGATTATTGCCAGCAGCTATACTCACATGAAAAATCTGACATACTGGTTGCCCCCAAATCGTACAACAATCGAATTGGGTACAATCAGCCTGCCCATGCGTAAGTGGTTGGAATATCAGCTGATCCCTACTGAACCGGAAGAGATTCGAACCATCTATGGCTGGCTTTAGGAATACATTTGGTATTGGTTAACTTATATGAAACCTACAAAAAAAAATGCCCGGGGAAGGGACAGATCCTTTTTTCCACAGAGAATCAGGAATAATTGCTGAACTATCGCAGAGATCTTCCAATGCGTAGGAGAGAAATGCTATTACCAGTGTTAAGCGCTTCTAAATATTTGTTACTGTTGAGATGTTCACCCATGCATTGTGTGATTGTACCCATCCATATACTGTACTGTTGGACACAGGTCTTACCAAGAATAAAAGGCAGTTCGATATCTCTCTATCCTAGAGAGAATAGCTACAACTTTCTTTTCTCTGACTGATATTTGGGAATTTGTGGTATATGCATGGTGAAATATCGCGGCTAATATACCAAAGCAGTTAAGGATACTAAACACAACTATTTGTGTGAATATTCTATTTAGTTATCCAAGAATTTGAAAAGCAAATCCCTGTTCACTTTGAATACCCTTGGAAAATTGAAGTTCATTTTTCACACCATCAGCTTCCATGTATACATGCGATAATGAGCACTGCCAACAGTTGAGAGCACCTGTTATCAATCTCCAAGGAAGTCCCACATGACCCAAAGTTTGCTTGATCATAGCAATTAAATATTTGAGTCAGGTGGCATAATTCCAGCTCTTAGTCACTCTCAGGGGTTTATTTAGTAATTTTTGCCAAGATACTAAACTATTATCACTCATTTTCAGTTTCCCATGTAGCAAACATTTTCATTAAATAACACTTTTTTTTATATCAACATCAAAATGTGTTCTCATTAACAGGAAGTTGATATCAGCAGTTTACATATGGTAATACTTCCATGCCGCAAAAGATTTATAGAAACCACTCTTATCATTAACAGAACACTAAGACTGACTTTAGATGAAGGCTGGCAATGCATGCAAGGTCCAACCACCAAATGCTCTTTAGTAAAAAAGATTGTTCTGCAAACATCCATGCATGGCCTGGGTTGAGTGGACTGGGGGAGTATGAATATTTAGGAGCTGCTTGGCTTATCTTGTGGAAGAAAAAACAACTGTTGCCAAACAGTGGTTGGACAGAGGATGTCTGCTGGGGGTTAGATGAGATTTAGGGCTTTGTGCACATGGTTTTATATAGAAGACATTGATATTAGAAATACATAAAACAACTTTATCCACTCCTCCTGAGTCCACATGTACTTGCGTTTTTATGTGTTAAGCTACTGAAAAACAGACAAAATGGTCTTGAGACTCAAAAAATTCTTGTTTATGTAAACCGGAAACTGAAAGCACCTAGATCCAGCTTAAAGTCCAGTTGTGAGTTCTGCCACAAAAAGGCATGACATACTTCTAGATGAGTTTAGAAATAAGCTCCAAAAACATTTGAACATGTATATTTTGACACCAGTGTGCATGGGGTCTTACAGATATGTGATCATTGCCAAATCTGACCATGCCTTTCCTGGTAAACATTATCATCATATCTGCAGGCTCTTTTACATTTTAGCTAATCAATTAACATGGAATGGTCATGCCTGGCACTAAATGCTGAGACTGTGCCACATAAAGTCCCATTTAATAAGAGTGTAACAAGTATAATGTCATATAACTAATTAGATTCTCTACATAAGGCCAATACCATTCAGGTATCACTCAAATGCAAGACTGAAATTTGTCAGTTACACTGTACTGACAGTGTCTTCACAAGAATTTGTGGGTAAAGTATTATAATATACTGAAAATTAGATAAGCAAGAAATAAACAATGATCCAGACATACATCTTATGTCGCACACAAGCTAAACTCTGGGAACAAATACTTTCATTTTAATTTAATATGCAATTCGCTCTGTGTGCATCAAATGCCGTTGCAAATCCTGATATTTCTATGTATACAGTTAGGTCCATATATATTTGGACACAGGCACAATATTAGTTTTTTTTAGGTATTTACCAAAACATATTCATCCTATAGTTATATAATGGATATGGATGGAAAGTGCACACTCTCAGGTTTAATTTGAGGGTATGTACATCCAAATTGGAGGAAGGGTTTAGGAATTACAACTCTTAAGAGTAGCTGTCCCCCCTTTTTCAAGGGACCAAAAGTAATTGGACGATTGAATCAAAAGCTGTTTCATGGCCAGGTGGGGGCTACTCCTTCGTTATTTCTTCATCAGTTAAGCAGGTAAAAGATCTGGAGTTGATGCTAAGTGTGGTATTTGCATTTGGAATCTATTGCTGTGAACCTACATCATGCATTCAAAGGAGCTGTCCATGCAAGTGAAACAGGCCATTGGAAGGCTTCAAAAATGAAACAAATCCATCAAAGATAGCAGCAACATTAGGAGTGGCCAAATCAACAGTCTGGTACTGTCAGGAATGGACTGGCCAGCAATAGTGGGACTCGCCTGCCTTATGAGCTGCAGTACCAGGGCTGGGCAGCGGGTGCTCCCAGCAATCAGAGACTCAACCTTGCAGCCAGTCAAACACCTGGAACTAATTATACTGGTGTATTTAAGGGACATTCAGACCTGCAGACTCTGCCTTGGTGTTGTGTTTCTCCCTGGGCCCTTCTTTCCTTTCCTGTTCCTGTCTGATTCTCTGCTGACCCTGCTCTGATCCCTGGCTTGTCTGACCATTCTCCTGCTCCTGATCCCTGGCTTGTCTGACCATTCTCCTCTGCCTGACCCTCTGTACCTGTCAGGAATGGACTGGCCAGCAATGGTGGGACTCACCTGCCTTTTGATCTGCAGTACCAGGGCTGGCCAGCGGGTGCTCCCAGCAATCAGAGACTCAACCTTTCAGCCAGCTAACACCTGGAACTGATGATACTGGTGTATTTAAGGGATGGCCAGACTTGCAGACTCTGCCTTGGTGTTGTGTTTGTCCTGGGCCCTGTATCTGTCCTGCATCCTGTTTCTGTTCCTTTGCTGACCCTGCCTGATCTGAACCGCTGCTGACTTCTCCTGCTCTGATCCCGGCTCGCTCCTGACCATCCCTCTGCCTGACCCTCTGTACCACGCTGCTTGCTACCTGTTCTGATCCCTGGCTTGTGACCCTGACCATCCCTCTGCCTGACCCTCTGTACTACGCTGCTAGCTACCTGCTGAACCTGGCCTGTGACCCCGACCCATCTCCGCTTGCTCCCCCTGTACCTACCTGCCCTATTGATATTGACCCGGCCTGCCTGACGACGCTTGCTTGTATGTACTGTTATCTGTGGGTGGTTGGTTTGGTTTGTTTGCACTGTATTATGTTTTAGTATTGCATATTGTATATGTTTGTATGGTTAGTGTTAATAAACTATATTGTTTATCACATATCTGAAGTCTGCGTTTCCCTGCGTCAGTCACACACCTCTGGTCACACCTGGGAGCCCTGACATTACACCAAGGCCAATCCTGACCAGAAGTGGCTGCACAGGGAAGCCATCTTGGCTTGTTGCTGGGAAGGATGGATCTGGATGAGGTTGAGTATTTATCTCTGCTAGTGCTTGATGACAGAAAATATGCTTATCAGACTCTGAAGGAGTATCCCCGGGATGAACTGCTAGAATGTATACGGATCGCTCATGTTCTAGTAGATCAGGGAACAGATTTCTCTATGGTGCAGCCATTGATTAAAGTTTGTGTTGAGTTGGTTTCATCTTGTTTCCCGAATGCAGGGATGAATTTTTGCCACCATTTAGTGCAGACCCAGGTAGAGTCCCTGGTGTGGTTATTAGAGGATGATGTGGGTTACTTTCTGGAACGTTATTCCACATGTTCACCACAGATACTAAGAGATTGTATAAACGCAGTGCAGTCTTTGGTCAGACAGGCTTTTGTGTAAGCTCAGCTTTGTTCAACCCATACTGCAGACATGGACAGACTTGTTGCACCCAGCCTCAGTCAGCTTACAAAGACCCAGTCCTGCTTCTAATCTATTTCCTCAAAGCTCTACTCCTGTATTCCCAACAACTCCCCCAGTTACAGCCCAGTATACTTGGCTATCTACCGCATGTCAGTACCCTGTTCCCACTCGCTGCACCTATCCTGCCTTTAACCCTGTAAAAAAGCCCTCTGTAGCAACTGCTCCCTCTCCTGTTCCATCCTCCAGTTCTTCTCTGTCTCCAGCTGCTCCATTCGTTTGCAGACCTGCGTTTACTTGAAAGTGCCCCAGTAGTTAAAACCAGAAAAAAGCGAAAATTCTTTCCAACCAATACCATCCTGCCAGTATCCAAACCGGTGAACCTGCTTCCGTGGTTCAGCCTGAATCCTCTACTCAGCCTGAAGCCTCTACTCAGCCTGATGCCTGTACGCAGCCTGATGCCTGTACGCAGCCTGATGCCTCTCTTCTGCCTGAAGCCTCTACTCGGCCTGAAGCCTCTACTCGGCCTGAAGCCTCTACTCGGCCTGATGCCTCTACTCGGCCTGGAGCCTCTACTCGGCCTGGAGCCTCTACTCGGCCTGAAGCCTCTACTCGGCCTGAAGCCTCTACTCAGCCTGATGCCTCTACTCAGCCTGAAGCCTCTACTCAGCCTGAAGCCTCTACTCAGCCGGACGCCGGTATTCAGCCTGATGGCCTCTACCCAGCATGATGAACTGATCCAGCCTGACGATCCTATTAGGCCAGTTGACTCGATGCCCGCTGTTGATCCAGATGATCCGGTACCTGACCCGGTGCCCGCTATCGTGCCAATTGACTCAGAGCCCGCTGTCGTACCTAGTGACCCGATGCCCGCTGTTGAGCCAGACGATCCAATGCCTGGTGACCCGGTGCCCACTGTCGTGCCTGTTGACTCGGAGCCCAGTCCCTTGCCAGATGACGCGGTGCCCGCTGTCGAGCCAAATGACCTGATGCCTGGTGACCCAGTGCCCGCTGTCATACCTGGTGACCCGATGCCCGCTGTCGAGCCAGACAATCCGGTACCTGATGACCCGGTGCCCACTGTCGTGCCTGTTGACTCGGAGCCCACTGCCTTGCCAGATGACGCGGTGCTCGCTGTCGAGCCAAATGACTTGATGCCTGGTGACCCGATGCCCGCTGTCCAGTCAGACGATCCAATGTCTGACCCAGTGCCCGCGGTCATACCAGTTGACTTGGAGCCCCACTGCCTTGCCAGATGACGCGGTGCCTGCTGTCGAGCCAAATGACCTGATGCCTGGTGACCCGATGCCCGCTGTCCAGCCAGACGATCCAATGTCTGACCCAGTGCCAGCGGTCATGCCAGTTGACTCGGAGCCCACTGTCGTGCCTGGTGACTCGGTGCCCGCCGCTTCGCCTGGGGGCCCGAGACCTGTCGCTCCGCCTGGGGGTCCGGCGCCCGCCGCTCCGCCTGGGGGTCCGGCGTCCGCCGCCCCGCCTGGGGGCCCGAGACCTGTCGCTCCGCCTGAGGGCCCGAGACCTGTCGCTCCGCCTGGGGGTCCGACGCCCGCCGCTCCGCCTGAGGGCCCGAGACCTGTCGCTCCGCCTGGGGGTCCGGCGCCCGCTGCTCCGCCTGAGGGCCCGAGACCTGTCGCTCCGCCTGGGGGTCCGGTGCCCGCCGCTCCGCCTGAGGGCCCGAGACCTGTCGCTCCACCTGGGGGTCTGGCGCCCGCCGCTCCGCCTGAGGGCCCGAGACCTGTCGCTCCACCTGGGGGTCCGGCGCCCGCTGCTCCGCGCTGAAGGTGGGCCTGAGACCTGTCGCTCCACCTGGGGGTCCGGCGCCTGCCGCTGCCGCCTGAGGGCCCGAGACCTGTCGCTCCATCTGGAGGTCCGGCGCCCGTCGCTCCATCTGGGGGTCCGGCGCCCGCCGCTCCGCCTGGGGGCCCGATGCCTGTCGCCCCACCTGGGGGCCCGATGCCTGTCGCCGCCGCCTGAGGGCCCGGAATCCTGTCGATGCCTGTCGCCCCGCCTGGGGGCCCGATGCCTGTCGCCCCGCCTGGGGGCCCGGCGCCCGCCCGCTCCGCCTGGGGGGCCCGGCGCCCCGCCGCTCCGCCTGGGGGGCCCGGCGCCCGCCGCTCCGCCTGGGGGCCCGGTGCCCTGCTGCTCCGCCTGGTGGCCTGCTGCCTGCTCGCTTCGCAGCTTGGTAATCCGATGTGCCTCTGCCCGGAGTCCTGCCCGATGTGCCTCTGCCCCGGAGTCCTGCCCGATGTGCCTCTGCCCGGAGTCCTGCCCGGCGTGCCTCTGCCGGAGTACAAGCCCGATGTGCCTCTGCCCGGAGTCCAGCCCGATGTGCTCTGCCCGGAGTTTTAGCCCGATGTGCCTCTGCCCGGTGTGCCTCTGCCCGGTGTTCTCTGCCCGATGTGGCCTCTGCCGGAGTCCAAGCCCGATGTGCCTCTGCACGGGTGTGCCTTGCCCGTGTGCCTCTGCCCGGGTCCAGCCCGATGTGCCTCTGCCGGAGTCCAGCCCGATGTGCCTCTGCCTGGAGTCCAGCCCGGTGTGCCGCTGCCCGGAGTCCTGCCCGGTGTGCCAGTCTTTGATATCCCGCCAGTTACCAGACCCGGGCGGTGGAACATTTTGCCCAGCTAGGACTGTTTGGAGCGTCCTGAGGCCGCTCCTTGAGGGGGGGGGTACTGTCAGGAATGGACTGGCCAGCAATGGTGGGACTCACCTGCCTTTTGATCTGCAGTACCAGGGCTGGCCAGCGGGTGCTCCCAGCAATCAGAGACTCAACCTTTCAGCCAGCTAACACCTGGAAACTGATGATACTGGTGTATTTAAGGGATGGCCAGACTTGCAGACTCTGCCTTGGTGTTGTGTTTGTCCTGGGCCCTGTATCTGTCCTGCATCCTGTTTCTGTTCCTTTGCTGACCCTGCCTGATCTGAACCGCTGCTGACTTCTCCTGCTCTGATCCCGGCTCGCTCCTGACCATCCCTCTGCCTGACCCTCTGTACCACGCTGCTTGCTACCTGTTTCTGATCCCTGGCTTGTGACCCTGACCATCATCCTCTCCCTGACCCTCTGTACTACGCTGCTAGCTACCTGCTGAACCTTGGCCTGTGACCCCGACCCATCTCCGCTTGCTCCCCCTGTACCTATTAGTATTGCACTGCGTTTATGTTTGTATGGTTAGTGTTAATAAATTATATTGTTTATCACATATCTGAAGTCTGCGTTTCCCTGCGTCAGTCACACACCTCTGGTCACACCTGGGAGCCCTGACAGTACCCACGCTGCCCGCTACTGCTGAACCTGGCTTGTGACCCTGACCATTCTCCGCTTGCTCCCCCTGTACCTACCTGCCCGATTGATATTGACCCGGCCTGCCTGACAACGCTTGCATTGTATGTACTGTTATCTGTGGGTGGTTGGTTTGGTTTGTTTGCACTGTGTTATGTTTTAGTATTGCACTGCGTTTTATGTTTGTATTGTTAGTGTTAATAAATTACATCGTTTATAACATATCTGAAGTCTGCGTTTCCCTGCGTCAGTCACACACCTCTGGTCATACCCGGGAGCCCTGACATTACACCAAGGCCAATCCTGACCAGAAGTGGCTGCACAGGGAAGCCATCTTGGTTTGTTGATGGGAAGGATGGATCTGGATGAGGTTGCGTATTTATATCTGCTAGTGTTTGATGACAGGGAGTATACCCGGGATGAACTGCTAGAATGTATACGGCTCGCTCATGTTCTAGTAGATCAGGGCACAGAATTCTCTGAGGTGCAGCCATTGATTCAGGTTTGTGCTGAGTTGGTTTCATCTGGTACCCCCGAATGCAGGGATGAATTTTTGCCACCATTTAGTGCAGACCAGGTAGAGTCCCTGGTGTGGTTATTAGAGGATGATGTGGGTTACTTTCTGGAGCGTTATTCCACATGTTCACCACAGGTACTAAGAGATTGTATAAACGCAGTGCAGTCTTTGGTCAGACAGGCTTTGTGTAAGCTCAGCTTTGTTCAACCCATACTGCAGACATGGACAGATTTGTTGCACCCAGCCTCAGTCAGCTTACAAAGACCCAGTCCTGCTTCTAATCTATTTCCTCAAAGCTCTACTCCTGTATTCCCAACAGCTCCTCCAGTTTACAGCCCAGTATACTTGGCTATCTACCGCATGTCAGTACCCTGTTCCCACTCGCTGCACCTATCCTGCCTTTAACCCTGTAAAAAAAAGCCTCTGTAGCAACTGCTCCCTCCTCTGTTCCATCCTCCAGCTCTTCTCTGTCTCCAGCTGCTCCATTCGTTTGCAGACCTGCGTTTACTTGCAGTGCTCCAGTAGTTAAAACCAGAAAAAAAGCGAAAATTCTTTCCAACCAATACCATCCTGCCAGTATCCAAACCGGTGAACCTGCCTTCCGTGGTTCAGCCTGAAGCCTCTACTCAGCCTGAAGCCTCTACTCAGCCTGAAGCCTCTACTCAGCCTGAAGCCTCTACTCAGCCTGATGCCTCTACTCAGCCTGATGCCTTTACTCAGCCGGATGCCTGCATTCAGCCTGATGCCTCTACCCAGCATGATGAACTGATCCAGCCTGACGACCCTATTAGGCCTGGTGACCCGATGCCCGCTGTCGAGCCAGACGATCCAATGCCTGGTGACCCGGTGCCCACTGCCTTGCCAGATGACGCGGTGCCCGCTGGCAAGTACCAAATGACCTGATGCCTGGTGACCCCAGTGCCCGCTGTCATACCTGGTGACCCGATGCCCGCTGTCGAGCCAGACAATCCCGGTACCTGATGACCCGGTGCCCCGCTGTCGTGCCAATTGAGTCAGAGTCCACTGTCGTGCCTGGTGTTTCGGTGCCCGCAGTCTTGCCAGACGAGTCGGTGCCCGCTGTTCTGCCAGTTGACTCGATGCCCGCTGTTCCGCCAGACGACTCCGTGCCCGCAGTCTTGCCAGACGACTCGGTGCCCGCAGTCTTCTTGCCAGCGACTCGGTGCCCGCAGTCTTGCCAGACGACTCGGTGCCCGCAGTCTTGCCAGACGACTCGAAGCCCAAAGCCCGCTGTTCCGCCAGTTGACTCGACCCGTGCCCGCTGTTCCGCCAGTTGACTCGGTGCCTGCAGTCTTTCCAGACGACTCGGGTGCCCGCAGTCTTGCCAGACGACTCGGTGCCCGCAGTCTTGCCAGACGACTCGAAGCCCGCTGTTCCGCCAGTTGACTCGATGCCCGCTGTTCCGCAGTCGACTCGGTGCCCGCCAGTCTTGCCAGACGACTCGGTGCCCGCAGTCTTGCCAGACGACTCGGTGCCCGCAGTCTTGCCAGACGACTCGGTGCCCGCAGTTCTTGCCAGACGACTCGGTGCCCCGCTGTTCCGCCAGACGACTCAGTGCCCGCTGTAGCCAGAGACTCGGTGCCCGCCGCCAGACGACTCGGTGCCCGCAGTCTTGCCAGACGACTCGGTGCTCGCAGTCTTGCCAGACGACTCGGTGCCCGCAGTCTTGCCAGACGACTCGAAGCCCGCTGTTCCGCCAGTTGGCTCGGTGCCCGCAGTCTTGCCAGTTGACTCGGTGCCCGCAGTCTTGCCAGTTGACTCGGTGCCCGCAGTCTTGCCAGTTGACTCGGTGCCCGCAGTCTTGCCAGTTGACTCGGAGCCCACTGTCGTGCCTGGTGACTCGGTGCCCGCCGCTCCGCCTGGGGGCCCGATGCCCGCCACCCCGCCTGGGGGCCCGATGCCCGTCGCCCCGCCTGGGGGCCCGATGCCTGTCGCCCCGCCTGGGGGCCCGGCGCCCGCCCTCCGCCTGGGGGCCCCGTCGCCTCGCCGGGGGGGCCCGATGCCTGTCACCCCGCGGGGGGCCCGATGCCTGTCGCCTCGCCGGGGGGCCCGATGCCTGTCGCCCCGCCGGGGGGCCCCGATGCCTGTCGCCCCGCCGGGGGGCCCGATGCCTGTCGCCCCGCCGGGGGGCCCGATGCCTGTCGCCCCGATGCCTGTCGCCCCGCCTGGGGGCCCGATGCCTGTCGCCCCTCCTGGGGGCCCGGTGCCCGCCGCTCCGCTTGGGGGCCCGATGCCTGTCGCCCCTCCTGGGGGCCCGGCGCCCCGCCGCTCCGCTTGGGGGCCCGATGCCCGTCGCCCCCCCTGGGGGCCCGATGCCCGTCGCCCCCCCTGGGGGCCCGGCGCCCTCCCGTCGCCCCGCTTGGGGGCCCGGTGCCCGTCCGCCCCGCCGGGGGGCCCGGTGCCTGCTGCTCCGCCTGGGGGCCCGGTGCCTGCTGCTCCCACCGGTGGCCCGGTGCCTGCTGCTTTGCCGGTAATCCGATGTGCCTGCTGCTGCCCTGGAGTCCAGCCCGATGTGCCTCTGCCCGGAGTCCAGCCCGATGTGCCTCTGCCCGGAGTCCAGCCCGATGTGCCTCTGCCCGGAGTCCAGCCCGATGTGCCTCTGCCCGGAGTCCAGCCCGATGTGCCTCTGCCCGATGTGCCTCTGCCCGGTGTGCCGCTGCCCGGAGTGCCTCTGCCCGGAGTCCAGCCCGATGTGCCTCTGCCCGGAGTCCAGCCCGATGTGCCTCTGCCCGGAGTCC